CATATTGTATACAATGCAAAAGCAATGCAAAACAGTACATTTTGAGAAGGGAACCCCAAAAAAGAAAAAGAAAAAAAAAGTTTTAGACCTACTGTGTGATGACCGCTATGGGAGTAACAGCCAAGCCACCTTTGCAGAATATAATTATACAACGCTCCACAGTTTAATATTGAGCACTATATCAACTAATCAGTGGCGGCTCTAGGATACATTTTCTCGGTGGGGGTGGGGGGCTTGAGATGTATGTCTGAGTTGGGTGATGGTTTGGGAGAAGGTGGACCCCTCCCAAATGAAATGTGTTTTTAATAGGGACCTCTGGGTGACCGGAAATGGCACTCTACGACTGTGAAAGACATGTTTTGGCTTGGTGTAGGCAGCTATTTTACACATTTGTTTTGGTAAGACTGCCCTACGAGCTCGGCCGGTGGTGGTGGCAGTAGGCCTACTGGGTGGTGGGGGAGGTTGACTTATCCGACGTGGGGGGGCTTAAGCTCCTGCCACCCCACCCCCGCAACTAATACTGACACCGTAATTAAGAGAGCAGCTAGGTCCCCTGGTTCGATTCCCATTACTGCTCTCCTTGTGTTTCAACTCGAGGGCTGCACTGCAAGTTTCAAAATCTGTTGGGCTCGTGTGCAAAATGAACCCCTCCCCCACCCGCGGGGAGAGCCGCGTCCCCTGGTCGGGGAGAAAGCATAGTTCGTTGGGGAGAAAAATAAATTAAATATATTTCGTGCATATATTATTAGTAGACAATAATATCGATTAAATAAGCCTTGAAACCCCTAAATTGTCAAGATTTTCGTGGGCTTGGCCCCTGGATGACTATTTTCGGAACATTTTAAGCGGCGCTCACTTTGCTCTCGTCGGCGGAAAATCCTGTCGCCACTCCCACATGTTTCTAAGCGTCACGAGCTCCCCAGAGAAGGCACCGGTACACATCCAATATAAATCCAACTAAACATTTCACAAGTTTAGTTCTCAGATAATGGTAAGCCGCACAACACATAACGACACCAAGCACAGACTGTTGAGGGGTTTTATTGGCTAGTCTTTGCTGTATTCCAAAACATTGATTTGAATCAATAGGTAGTGGTTGATTAAATCGAAGAATTAACAAAAAGAAATACAAAGACCATCAGTAGTGCCTATATGTCTTAAACAAAAACAAGTCGTAATGTCTGCAAGCTCTCAGAAGAAGTAGTTCTCTATTGAAAAGAAACATTTTTAGCTCCGATGTCTAATTAATACATTTTTTGTATGGGCGGCCGTTAGGGCCGCTAGAATCACTCGGCTGATTAATTCAGTAGTACAACTGATCAATGATCTTTAAAGCAAGGCTGAAAAGGGGGCGTGCTACGTACTCGGCTTTGGCCCCAGATTCCCTTACCGTCGGATCAATAGCAAATAATGTATCACACATCTACAGAAAACTCACGATTATGCTGGAATTAGTATAACTTATTATTGATTTAGTAGATACTTGAAAACTGAAGTCCTAACATGATCCAAATGCAGGACAGATGGTTTATACAGAACGCAAACTATTCTACATAATTGAATTATGGTAGTTATATTAGTTCTATGAATCCTCTAACATCGTAATTCCATTATGATATTTGTGGATTAAAGACCAACAAATAATATAACTGACGTCGGCACAGTTATTGTAGTCGCCCTCACCCCCGGTCATCACATTTATAGTTCATCATGTGTGGTTGAGGGATCATCAATCGATCGACCATCAGCCAATCAATCAATCAACCGATTATTTACTTGCATATAATATTTGAATGGTAAAAAGACAAGCCTACTAACAACAAACCTTCACTACTGTAATATCTGTTGTTATATAATGAGTTATATCATTGCTGCCTTTTTTTAAATTCTTAAACAATTTGGAGGTAACGATTTAAAGAATTATGTCCGCCGTGGTTACTTCAGACTGATTTTGACAAGTGTAGTAGAGAATTTATATTTGTGTAATAGGGACGTGCAAGTGCATCGGATGATGCTGCAATTCCGTTGGTCATGTTGCTACTGTATCACAATGCACAACAGGATTGACTAACAAATTCTAGGCACTACTCTGACGATATTTTGAACTTCGAGTGGTTTTTAGTATTTTATTAGAAAAAAGGTGCTGTGGTAAGCCTATGGTTAAAAGTATAAGATCAGTTGCATGCGATGGTTATAGTATCTCATCACCAGCATAATACTGATTAACAACTACTACGTACTACTATGTAATTTCAGTTTCACCACACAAATTAACATCAAAATATATTTCCCCTACAAACATCAATATATACGACAATTAAACATTTCTAAGACAACACGACCTCACGAAATCTGACATATCTCTACATATATCAAGGCTAAGCCCAGTATAAATAGGGCTTAAAAATGATAGCCATTTATAATAAATATTAACTAATTAATTAAATTACTGGGATCAAAAGCAGCCTGGCATAACAAATAATAAATATAACTAAACGTTTTAATGTTTTTATAGTTCATAAATTATTTGAAACGAAATGTTGCACATTTCTATGCAGCAACAGATCAATGTCCAATAAGAATAATGCCTTTGAATTTTCAGAAATTACACCAATAAAACACTGCTAAATAATAAGCTTTACTGACCGTTGGTACACGCATGTGACACTAAATACACATTGATTAGTTTGTGATCTGTTTGCGTATGCGTTATTTAACGCATTTTAATTGTTTCAGTACACAGTACTGGACAATACTTTGTTTTCAAAACGTGTTACCGAATGCAATATTTTAGTTAAACAACGTAGAATTAAAATCACATAATATTGAAGGCAAATACCTAAATATTGCTACATACAAAGCACTTTTGCTTTTGCCAATCTAATATTATTAATTATCAACATGTGTCAACCTACATCAAACAAACTAACACAAAGAATATTTGAAAAATATTGTGAAGTTGATGAGTTTGAGCAGTATATAATAATTACTACAATTGCCATGTTTTAAAGGTGTCTCAGCAATGTACAAGAATTACAGTAAAAACTCAATGAGTGGTAGAAACTCGTGGGAATGATCATTATATTGTGTAAGCAGTGTTGCTTACATCACTCCATGAACACAAGTCACACTACGGACACAGGTTTCTTTCTGTTCTTGCACATGTTTTCCAATTTTAGATTACTAAAACTATTACTATTTAGTTATAATTATTAATTTTATTTGATGATAATTTAGCTGTTAGCAACTTAAATGCTGATAATATTTATCAGGAACTACATAAATACCGATTTATTTAACCTTTTCAAATTAAAATGCTGAATTATAAACAGAAGTTTATCAATCTTACTTCAACAGTATATGATTGAATTTGTAACATGATTTACATGACAATTGAGGTAATAATCATGTTTTTATTGTCACAGAAAATATTCCACAATGAAACAAACATCGAATATCGGGATTCAGTATTCCAACATTAACAAGATTTGAACTTGTCACTGAGGACGAGTTTGGTGATCCGCCGCACTTCAACCCTCAGGAAGCGCGAGCGGTGTGGATTGAAATGTTAGCTGTCTCTTATACACATCTAGATGTGTATAAGAGACAGCATCTAGATATAACTCAGCCAACAACAAATGGGCATGCTCAGAATGTTTTATTTCAAAAGGCACAGGACATTTAATATGCGCTAAGACAATACTGATCATGCAAACTACTCCCAAGCTAACTTTAACAAAGAAGATCTACCCACTGAACAATATGTGAAAAGTTATATATTGGCAATATGTAATACATACATGTGATATATGTGATGAAATCTTATCTGAATACTGAACTTGGATATGTAACATTTTATATATTGTTAATATGTAATACATATTAGTAATGAAATCTTACCTCTCTTGAAGCCTTCATGCGAACTTGAAGAGTCTGCTGGACTAGGAGGGGGCAAGGTCAAGAGTTCATCTGTTGGTATCTTTAAAAAAATGATTAAATGAACATTACCAGTACGTATGAGCTTACAATCAGATAAACATAGAATTATTATTAAAAAGCAGCAGACTTAAAGAACTGGATATTTTGAGAGTTAGAATGTTCATCTGGTTTGGATGTGTTATGTTAACTTAACCATTAAAATTTGTACATACTTGCCATGTTTCCTATGTTATTAGCAACGCTTCTTGAGGTAATGAACTGCTGGTGTCAGATAGCGAAACGTTTCAAGTATGTAAAAATGATTGTGTTACTAGTAGTGTGGTGTGTGAATTTCAATGATCTGTGTTACAAGTAGTATCAAAACAATTATGCTGACAATACTAATTTGAGTGTACCGTCATTTTTTTTAAAATTTACCCGTGACACTCCCTCAATTATCAGAGTGCTTTTCTTGGGCTGGGCTGCAGCAGATTCCTGCCCTTGATCTGTCAGATGTCGAATAGCTGCTTCAGTAACTGAATTGTTCGACACATTTGGGTCGGTTACCATGATCAATTCTGGAAATCAAAACAAAAATGCAGGAGTTAAATAGTAATAACATTTGAGGTTATTGATAGAATCATGGAAGGTTTTTGTAATTAATTGTTGAGGTACAAGTTTTTTCTTGTTACAAATTGTGAGATGATGTCACTTGCATTTGGTTGGTTCTTTATAAAGGAATGTTAATAGTGGTAGGGTCCTGATAAGCTGATTTGATGGCAGTCGTGTTATGGTACAACAGAGGATTTGGTCATTAAATGTCATCAGTAGGAGGGGAGTAGACATTGGGTGTGTGTTCATAGTAGTAGTAGTACAAAAGTAGTAGAAGTACATCAAGAAAAAAAGACACCACAAAGACAGTGCACAGGTACATTCCAAAGTTTAAAAAAAGTACAGGCAGTTCAATAGCATGAGTAGTTTACTTCTTGATGTGTGTGCGTTTGTGGCTTATGAGTGAATTGTTTGCTTTGAAGTGTCTGCCACATTTAGGAGACTGGTGATCAGTTGAAGAACACTGTATGTTATCTCTTGTAGGGTCTGGCCAATGAATGTTATCAGTGAATGATGCCTATGAATGGCAATAATACATACATTTACCACCTTCATAGCAAAATATCTGAAATGAACACATGGGGTGGCATGACCATATTCAAGAATTGTGAAATTCAATATCTTGTTAAGACGATTGTGAGGAATGATTCCAAAAGACGATATCATGGCATATTATTTAAGCTACAATAATTTATTCCTTATGGCGGCTGAACATTGATATGGATACATTCCTCATAAAGGATTACTGATGGAAAGCATGGAATGAATACTATTTTGGATATTTATTTTGCACATACACTGTACATAATCACTGTCAATAAAAGGAAAATATAAGATTTGAGAATGAATTGATAGGCTGTTTTGAGCATGTTTTGAGTTATTGTTTAATCTCTATCAGTAAAAGTCTTGTTAAAATTCTAAAAATAGGGATGTCCCGATTTTTTGACATCGGAAATTGGGACGATCTAGATTAAATCGGAACGGTTGGCAGGTCTGAGATTTTAAAATGAACTGAAAGTAAATAATGGTAGCAATGGTTTTGTCCACATGAAATATTTGTTAAACAAAGTAAATTACCAGACCTTCAACATAGCAAATACCATTAGATGGGACACCCTCTGTCATAGGATGAAAATTAGATAAGAACAACACATTGAAAAGTAAATTAATAATCAAAAATATTGAAAAATTTATAAAGAACCTAAACATTATTTCATTACCTAATGCATAATAAATGTACTCACAAATCTAATACCATATTATAAAAGGTAAAAAAGAAATTACAGGGAAGTAAAGGAGAGACAGGTTGTAAGTATGAAAGAAAATAAAGGTAATGGAGAAAAAAGACATGGGAAAAAAAGATTAAAAGGTAAGTAAGGTAATAAGACTAAGAAAATAAATATTTAACAATTAGATAGATTAGATAGATAAATAAAATTCTCTATTTTCAAATTATTTATTTATTAACATAGTAATCGTATATTTATATTTATTGTTGTTATTCATTATTTTTTAGGTGAAACTTTTAATAATTTATCCCACTCTAAAATATATTTTACATTATGCGCTATATAAATTGACAATTTTTATTATTATATTGGGAAAAAATAAACTTGTATTTGAAGTGGAATAGCTTGGTGGTTAATTCCTGTAACAGCACAGGATTTTGTCTCACTTTCTAAGACCCATAATGAGGCTTAGTTTATGTAAAAAACATCCACTTCCTAAGACCCATAATGAGGCCTAGTTTATGTAAAACATCTTGTTTATATGTTTGTCTTGTGAATGGATTTCCACTTAGTAAAGTGCTTATGTTCACTATTGGCCCTCAGCCTAAAATTAAATAAAAGTTAATAGTTAAGTATAATCTAAATAAATTCATCATTTGAGAAAATAATGTGTCAAACTGATCAAATAACACTTTTAGAGAGAACTCTTAATATTATACAAAAGATATTATTTAATATTTACATAAATTTGCATAGATTTGGATGAATTAAACTGAGGTTATTTTGAAATTTTGGTTACCTCCTGCATCGCCTGAGACTGATCCGGACTCGCCTCCTTCAATGTTGGACGTTGTCACAACCTTCGTTGGCATATCTATATAGACAGGTGTTGCGAAGAAATTGCATTGATAACATCACAGGGGTTACAATTATTAATAAGAAATTGCATTGATAACATCACAGGGGTTACAATTATTAATAAGATATTTGCATTGATGATATAAGGTTGTTGGAAAAAAAGTTGAATTGATGACATATTATTATTTGGAAAGTTGTTTACATTGATCATCACAAGGTTGAAAAAAGTTGTTGAAAAAAAAAATTATGACATATAATGGTTGAAAAGATGTTGGAAAGATATTTGCACTGACTACATCACTATGGTTAAAAAAATTGAGTTTTATGTTTTGCTTGCATCACAAATAATTGTAATGTTAGTCTATACAATTAAATCATGCAGAAAATCATATGCAACATTTTTTTATAAATTCCATAAAATAAACATAAAATGATGGATCAGAATGAAAAAAAAAACATGTTAAATGAAGGCAGAGTCTGAGGGAAGAAACCAAAATGTGTGTTAGTTGTTAAGCAAAGGTTAGAAATACAATAAAATGCATCAGTTCCTAATAAGTTACAGAATCCAATAGTGTTGGATTATAGTCTAAAAGGATTTGTGTTGCCAAAGCCCAACTGACCCATACAGTTAAAAAGTTGGGATCCTTGGTAAAACTATTTACCAAGGATGTCTGAAGAGGTCACTTTGATTAATACCGTATTCTCATGTATAAAACGATCCAAGTATAAGACGACCACCAAGTTTGAGAAGATTTTTGGACAACTTTTGTATGTTGGGTGTGTAAGATGAAACACCGTTTTAAAATTCATACTTTTTCCGGCTTTTTAATTTATTGATCTTGATACTGCATCTAGCTGGCTAAAAAACGGAGCCAAATGTAGGGCTAATCCATTGAATAATACCATTTTATGGGCTCTTAAATGTTCATTAAAATCTAATTTGCCTGCATTTAAAATTGATTTCATTCATAGTAACAGCAGCTTTATTTCAGTAGTAGATTTTTTTGTTAGGGACGATCCGCACATAAGACGATTTAAAAATTAAAAAAGTGTATGTGTTGCAAGTATAATTGTAATTTGCTAAATTAAGCCTCATCTTGTATGCAAGAATATAAGATTTTATAAATTAACCATGGATTTGCAGGAATATATTGAAGTAAGTAGTGGTTGAAAATTAACTTTAAATTATGATCAGGCCTAGGTCAATAGTAAGAAAAAAATCGTAACTGTCCATGATTTCAAATGTCACTGTGCTTGGGCAACACAACCAGTGGCATATCTAGTAGTACGCAGAGGGCACACGCCACCCCCCAAAAAACATGCTTGCAACCCCCAGTCAGGGCCCCCTAAAATCACGCCAAAGTAGTTCAAAATCTTGCGAGTTGGCGCCCCTCACCTAATAATCGAGCTCCCCATTTCATCTTCATGGCCCCCTCCCCCATTTCAAGACTCCTAGATACACCACTGAACGGAACAATTTTTTTGTATAATGACAAACTCAAGATTACAGATTAAAAGTAGCAATACTGGACTCTAGGTTAAGCAAAAATGTATTATGCATTCAATGTTAAAAGGTATGCAGCTATCATTCATAAATGATAAAGTCAAATGATGCATCTACACCAACATTAATAGTTAATATAACTCATCACCCAATTGTCTTTATAAACAGTGTGTGAAAGTAGTAGTAGTAGACACTTTATAGTCACCATCCAATAAAATACAGGATAAATGGCCCAGGATAATAATTAATAAATTATCTAATTTTAAATTCAGGTAATAAGGAAACATGGTCGAAATGAGTTAGAATCTCAATTTTGCCATCAAATATATTTATGAAAAAAATGTGCATAATGCAACAGAAAACAAAAACAATATTAAAACGTGTTTTAAAAAGGAAAAAAATGTAAGAAAATAGGATTACAATTTATAAAAATTGGTTGCCATGGTTATACATGCAAACTACAGTTGAAGAGGTTTGTTGTTTCTTGCCTTGATATGCTGAGTGGTACCAAGAGGCAGGGCGCTGCACTGATGGGTTAGTGCGAGGAAATACTGCCAGAAGATAAACAACACCCATGTCAAATTTACACACATTAGCACAACACAAGCAGCATAGTGTGAAAGACATAAGTATGAATAGATTTTGTGCTGGCAGTGATGATACAACAATGTCCTACAATGTGGTAGAGACCTGGATAAATTGAACTTCTTGAAAGATTAGGCATACATGCAGCATTAATACTACCCTGGATAAATTAAACCTATAGAGAGATTAGGCATACATGCAGCATTTATACTACCCTGGGTAAATTGAACTTCATTATTTGATACATTAAGCTTACCTGAAACATTCATGCTACTACCTAGACTAATTTAATGTAAACACTATATTAAGAATGCAACATTTATACTCCCCAGGATATTGAGGTAATTCACAGATTAAGCATTCATGCAGCATTTATGCTATATTGAGGAACCTGACATATTAAGAATGTATGCAACATTTATACTACCCTGGTTTTATAAAGTACTTCACAAGCTACCTTGGCTATATTGAGGAACACGACATAATTAAGCATGTATGCAGCATTTATACCACCCTGTATATTGAGGTACTTGACAGACTAAGCATGCATGCAGCATTATATTACCCTGGATACTGAGGTACTTGACAGACTAAGCATGCATGCAGCATTATATTACCCTGGATACTGAGGTACTTGACAGATTAAGCATTCATGCAGCATTTTTACTAGCCTGACTTTTTTCATACATGTGCTACCTTTCTAAGGTGTGTGCTCCATCTCTAAACTAATCTTGTCATGCTTCATCACTTTAATTATCTTTTTCTCATTAGCTAATTAGACATGAAATATTAGATAGTGAAAATGATGTATGAGGACTACTCCTAAAATTACAATAATGTTTTGATTCACCTCGGTTAAGATGAAAATCAATGTATTGGTTTAATATCGAACCAGAGAATTAAAATCAAATTTATATAATTAGGAATAAGAGGATTATTGTACATAAGGTCAATACCAGACAATTAATTGGTGTCAGTTCAAACTCTAATTAGCATGTCTTCAAAATTTTATATAAAGTTGATGAAAACATGTACACACACACAGTTAATGGCAAAACAAAGCAGAGGGTAGAATTGACAGGTATCGCACATCCTTGTTACATTGAGGACTGAACAGTTTGACAATGACCTCACAGTAAGCACCTGCTTATTAGTCTTACCATTTTGACTGACCCCCTTCAATGATGTCCTGGGCTTTGCAGTTGTTGTAGTGACGGTTGTGATAACTGTGCCATCGGATGCGATGGTTCTTAAGGTTGCGATCTTCTTTGATGGGGATGCCGCAGGTTTTGATGGACTTAGCATATTGTGGGCTTCAAGAGCTTCCGCATGCTCCATGAATAAAAACTACCAATAATAAAAATTTGTAATTAAATATAAAATATTATGATATTATAATAATATAATAATAATAACAACAATACTAATATTAACAACAACAATAATAATAATAATAATAATATATTCATTTCCTCAAAGCCAAGGAGGAGCAAGTTTCTTGTACAAGGTATGGCAGGAAACACTTGCATTATCATTATAGTTCAGTGCAGAACCTTACAACACCTGGTCCTGTGCATTACAGTAGGTATAAATATATAATGTACATACCTCAACAGTTATTGAACCTTTAACTTTATCATCTGGTCCACCCCTGCCCTGTAATGGAATAATCTGTCTTGTACTTGGATTACGCTTTAGATTTTCCAATTGAACTTCAGCCCCACCAAGGAAGTCATCTGCCAATAAAAGTAAAAATAAATATATAAATAAACAATCGCATGTAATTATCATTATATTTTAGATATTTAACCAGAACTTTAGATCCATGAAGAAGGCATTCACATTAATTACACTTTATGCATGCAGTAGCAATTCAATTACAGAGCGTCTTACAGTTACAAGGTAATGGAACCGTATGTATAGTACAAGTCAATTACACAGTGTGTAAGCAGTAAGCCAGTTAGACAGTGTATATGCAGTACAGGGTAATGGCACAGTACTATATGTATATAGTACAAGTCAATTACATAGTGTGTAAGCAGTAAGTCAGTTACACAGTGTGTATGCAGTACAATT